ACCTCACACCATATACAAAAATTCAAAATGGATTGAAGACCTACATTTCAGAACTGAAATGATAAAACTCTTAGAAGGAAATGAGGGGGGAGAAGAAGATATGTAGATGGCCAATAAGCACATGAAAAGATGCACAACATCACTAATCATTAGAGAAATGTAAATCAAAATCACGATGATGGAGTTTCAGAGGAACCAAAAAACAAAACAGCAAAACCACCACAATGAGGTACCACTTCACACACATTAGGATTGTTTATAATAAATACACACACACACACTCACAGGCACACACAACAAAAGAATTAGAAAATAAGTGTTGATGAGGATGTGGAGAAATGAAAACCCTTGTGCACTGTTGGTGGGAATGTGAAAAGGTGCAGCTGCTGCGGGAAACAGTATGTGGTTCCTCAGACAGTTAAAAATAGAACTACCATATGGTTCAGCAATTCCACTTCTGGGTGTATGGACACACGAAAGAAGTGAAAGAAGGGACTTGGACAGATATTTGTGCACCTATGTTCATAGCAGAATAATTCACTTGAGCCAGAACATGGAAATAATCTAAGTACCCTGTTTCTTCGAAAATAAGACAGTGTCTTATATTAATTTTTTCTCCCAAAGTTGCACTAAGTCTTATTTTCAGGGGATGTCTTATCTTTCCATGTGCTAGGTCTTATTTTCGGAGGATGTCTTATTTTCCGGGAAACACGGTATCCATCAACAGAGAATGGATAAACCAAATGATCTATAATAATAAAAGGGTAATATGCTAATTAGACTGGACATCCTTCCAGACAAAGCAGCGGCGGGCAGGGGCTGGGCTTGCATGAATTTCGTGCATAGGGCCGCTAGTACTATCGGATTGTATGCTATGACATGAGTGAACTTGAGGACATTAGGCTAAATGAAATGAGCCAGCCACAAAGGACAAACGCTGTATGATTACACTTCTATGAGGTAGCCAGCGTTGTCAAATTCATAGAGACTAGAAGGGTGGTATCCAGAGGCCAGGGAGAGGGGTTAATGGGGAGTTAGTGTTTAATAGTTTCAGTTTGAGAAGACGTTCTGGAGCTGCATGATAGTGATGGTTAAACAACAGTGTGAATGTACTCAATGCCCCAGAGCAGCGCCCTTAAAATTGGTTAACATGGTGAATTTTATGGTGTGTGTTACCACAATTTAAAAAATCTCTGCACTAGCATTCAATGCAATTTGTTGAGTGACTGACTGTATAAACACATAATAGAAAATGCTGTTTTCCTTTGGGCAACAAGGTGAAGAACAGGTCTCGGTCACAGATGCTCACAGCTGGACACAGTGCTAATTGTGCTTTATTGGGGCACCAGGGTGAAGGGCAGAACAGGGACCACATACTTGGGAGCCCATCCCCTTACCCTGAAGCCAGCCAGGCCACTGGGGTGGGTGGTGAGGTCTTGATGCTCACAAGAGTCCCGGGAATGGAGCAGCCGCCACGCTCACCACGCTCAGGCAGCAGAATGCCAGGTGTGCCTCTGGCCTGCGAGGACACCTGGGTCTCTGAAGCCACCAGCCCCTTCCTTTCTGGATCCCTATGAGGAAGTTCCCTTTGCTGTCTTTCCCTTCTGTGTGGCCTTGCCTCGTCCAGGCCTCTGCTCCCAGGCTACCTCTGTCCCCCGCCCGCCCTGGGCTGGCTTCTCCAGGACACGGCGGCAGCCAGCCCTCTGGTACTTGCATATGTGTCGGCCTCCCTTTACTGCAGTACAAGCTCCGCAGGGCATGGGACTGCTCAGTGCCCCACGGGGGCCACCAGGCAGCTACAGCACTGCTGGGCCACGACAGGTGCCCCATACCTGCTCGGGTGAATACATGAGGTGAACATGGAGAAGAGGAACACTTCTGAAGGGAGAGAACAGGAAAGTTACAGAGAGCAGCCCAATCGAGGAAGAGTTTGGGACAATGTCTGGGCGTATTTTGGTCTGTGGTCAGCAGTCAGCCCACGGAAGAGCTCTGAATGACAGCAAAGTCTTTAAAAAATACATATATATTTTATTGATTTTTTTACGGAGAGGAAGAGAGAGAGAGAGTTAGAAACATCGATGAGAAAGAATCATCGATCAGCTGCCTCTTGCACACCCCCTACTGGGGATGTGCCCGCAACCAAGGTACATGCCCTTGACCGGAATCGAACCTGGGACCCTTTAGCCCACAGGCCAACTCTCTATTCATGGAGCCAAACCGGTTTTGGCTGACAGCAAAGTCTTGATTCACTCTCCCAGATGCAGGTCCCTTCTCCAGCGACAGCAGTGAACCACGGGCCATTGTGGGTGTTTGGGGCTTCCTGAGGGTGGCCAAGGGATGCAGCAGAGGCTTTGGGGTTAGCCTGGGTTCCTGTCCTGCTCCCCCATCTGGCCAGCAGCTGACCTCCTTCATGAGGCATTTAACTCTTTTGAGCCTCAGTTTTCACTTCTGGAAACAGCACCATTCCTACCCAGCGGTGACACCTGTCTAGATACTGATCTCTAAAGCGGCAGCACTAACACCTAAGGTGTCACTGAGTGCTGAGTATGCAGCCACCGTCCGGAGGATGTTCTGCGTGCTCTGGAAGCAGCTGGCGAGTGCTGGTCCCGCCTGGGAAGAACTAAGCACAGTGTATTTGATAAATGCTGGGTAACATCATTATTTGTAAACAAAGAAATGGAAGCGTCAGCGATGAGGACTGCCCAGCCAGGGTGCTTCCTGTGCACACAGTGGCCCCAGAAGTTTCCGGCTTCCGTGGACCATGCCGCTGGAGGGGAAGGTGATGGCAGTGCCAGGCAGGCTCTCTCGACCTCCTTATGGACTCAGACCTGCAGGCTGAGCACTGTTTGTCTGCCCTCGCTCACTGCAGGGAGTCAATGGTCCACTGGCTACTCCCTTTCATAGCCATACAGGCTGTCCCCGGGAAGGAGGACTCGGGAGGGAGGGTGACAGCTGGAATTCAGGTAGGAAGGCCTTAGCTCCAGACCCTCAGCAGCTCTCCAAGGTGGGAAAGGGCAGAGGAAGCTCACCCCTCTCCTGCCTCCCCTTTCTCCGGGCTTATCTTCCTCCTGCGTGTACCTCCCAGCTAAGGCACTGCTGAGGGGTCCCCTATTGGAGGAGGATGGCTGACTGTGTGGGGGCAGACTGACTCAATTTGGAGTGAAGACTTCAAATGAACTGCCTGCAAGTGGAGCCAGTGGCCCTTAGGGGCTGCTGGCCGCAGGCTGCGGGCCCGTCAAGGATGCTGCAGGGAGACGGTCTGGACCAGCCTTCCTGCTCTGGGCCTGTCATTCTGTTTGCAGTGGCCAAGATGGGGCAGAGTGAGGGAGCACACACAGCTCCCTACTCCAATTTAGGGGCCCACTCTGCTCCAGCCCCAGGGAAGGGCATGGAGGACACAGGATGCAGCAGCGGGGAGGGCCAGGCAGGGCCTGCTGAAGGACGCTGCGCAGCCACCGATGCATGCCAAAAACCTTGACCAGCCAGGTGAGGAGGGAGCGTTACTTCAGGGCAAAGGCTGGGGCCCAGCATGAGCTACAGCACCTCTGCACCCCCCTTTCCCCCACAATGGGGCTCAGGAATCTGGGACACAAACCAGGGGCGCAGCACCTGCCGCCTCCCCACCCCCAGGTCACCCAGGCCTGGGGGCTCTGACCAGTGTTCCTGGGCAGTTCAATTTTAGATAATCGCCCTCTTTTTACCGAGCTGGCCTGTGCCAGTGCTCCTGCCCCCTTTGGGAAGTGTGGGGCAGAATAAGGGGTATCCTCAGCCAGGAATCAGGGGAAGGCAGGAGGAAAGGGAGCAGTAAGGAAGAGATGGAGGAGCCCTCTACCCACTGCTGAGTCAGAACAAAGTTAGAGCCAAGTAGTGTCTCCTGTACCTTTTAATGAGAAGGGACACCCTAGGGGATCTCATCCTAGGGGTTTCCTGTACCCCCAGCCCACCTCTCACCCTCACCCAGTGTCCAGGGCCCCCTTCCCTGCAGGTCCCTCCCCATGTTCTCCCCCCACAATGCCCTGGCCTACCTCTCCTGGCAGGGCACCGATTCCTCTTCTCCCGCAGGGGGTCTCCCCGGGCCTCCTGCCCCCTCCCCGCGGGTCCCCGGCCCACTTTCTCCGTGGAAAGTCCCCCAGCTTACCTGCTCCCCGGAGAGCTTCCCAGGCCTACCTCCTGCCCAGGCAAGTTTGCAAGCCCACCGTCTTCCCAGATGGGCCCCTGACCCACCTTCCCCCTAACCGGGGTCCCGGACCCCCTTCCCCTCTAACCGGGGTCCCGGACCCACCTTCTCCCCTAACCGGGGTCCCGGACCCCCTTCCCCCCTAACCGGGGTCCCGAACCCACCTTCTCCCCTAACCGGGGTCCCGGACCCACCTTCCCCCCTAACCGGGGTCCCGGACCCATCTTCTCCCCTAACCGGGGTCCCGGATCCACCTTCTCCCCTAACCGGGGTCCGGGACCCCCCTTCTCCCCCTAACCGGGGTCCCGGGCCCCCCCTCCCCCCCTAACCGGGGTCCCGGATCCCCTTCCCCCCTAACCGGGGTCCGGGACCCCCTTCCCAGGACGATCCCAGGCCCACCTTCTCCCGGGCGGGTCCCGGCCCGCCTTCCGCGCGGAGCGGCGGCCAGGCCGCAGGCGGAGGCGGCGCCACCCGGGGCGCTGACGTAGAGGCCGCTCGGCGGCCGGGGGTCCCTTCGGTGGGGCCGCGGCTCCCCGCCCGCCCGCCGCCCCCGCGCGTCCATCCCTTTTGTGTCCCGCACGCCGGCCCCGCGCACACTCGCGCCCTGCGCCCCGGCCGCGGGCGGCTCCCGGCCTGCGCGCGCCCCGCTTTGTGTGGACGCGCCGCGGGAACGCGCGGGCTGTCGGCTCCCCCGGCCCGTCCCCGGCCCCGGCCCCGGCCCCGGCCCCGGCCCGCCCGGCCCCCGCCCGGCCCCCGCCCGGCCCGGCCCGCCCGGCCCGACCCGGAGCGCAGCGCGGGCGGCGGGCGGGCGGGCGGCGCGAACATGGCGACCGTGCCGGTGTACTGCGTCTGCCGGCTGCCCTACGACGTTACCCGCTTCATGATCGAGTGCGACGCCTGCAAGGACTGGTTCCACGGCAGGTGAGCGCGGCGCCCGGCGCGGCCCGGCCCGGCCCGGCGCGGCCCGAGCGCCCCCAGGCCCGGCCCGCCGGCCGCGCGCCCTTTTGTGCCCGGGGCGGGGGCCAGGCCGCGGCGCCCCTCGCCGCGCACAAAGCGGCCGGGCCGGGGCCGCGCGGGGAGTTGGGGCGCCGGGCCTGGCGCCTGACCGCGGGGCGCAGGCCGGCTCCGGGGTCCAGGCCGGCGCCGCCTCCCCCGCGAAGTTGCAGGAACTTTCCCCGCGCGGCCCGGGGAGGCGCGAGCGGCGGCTCGGACGCGGCGGGGCCGGGCGGACGCGGCCCGGGGAGGGGGCGGCCGGCGCGCCCACCCGGCGCTGCAGCCGGAGCTCCGGCCTCCACTGCGCGGGGGACCCCTTCCCGGCCCCGGGCCCGGGACCCCGGTGCCCCGGTGCCCGGCGGCCGCCCCTCCCCGGGGAGGGGGTGACAGAAGGGTGTCTGCGGGTGGGTGCCGTGGCTTTGCCGCCTCCTCGCTGGCCGGCACGTCCCCCCTCTCCCTCCTCTGCTCCCGGCGGGGACACCCGGGTCTGACTTGAACCTTAGACGCTCTCCGAGGAAGATGGTTTGGGGAGGCGAAGCTTATCTCTTGCCCATGGCCGTGACCTGGCCCTGCGCCTAGTTTTCCAAAGCGAGGTCCCTTCCCACCCAGAAGTAAGTGGAGGGGAGGAAGAGGAGGTGGCACTGCTGCCCAAACTGCTCCAACAGGTTTTCATGGTTTGGGCCTCTGCAGCACCGGCCGGAGGCTGGCCAGGGCCCTGTGCCCTCCGAGGCCCCCAGAACAGGAGTGGGGGCAAGAGAGGGGTATGTGCCATGGGGGATCCCCGATCCCCGGGGCTGTGGGGTCTAGTCCTGCCAGTTCACAGGTGGGGAGCCTGGCAGCCAGATGTGACAGGACCTGCTCAGACTGGTCAGTGCCAGGCCCAGTCCCTGTGACAGGGACCCCTCCTGGCCTCCCAGGCTGCCTGCCTTCCCGCGCCCAGGGCTGCGAGGACCCTCCCCACCCCACGCCCCAGCAGCAGAGCCTGGTGTGAAGAGGCTGTGCACATCCACCAGCCGGCATCCCCTCAAAGTTCCTAGCTGGAAGGAGCGGGAGAGTGGCCCTCTGAGCTCACATCCCCTCAGTTCCTGAGAGTGAAGGGGCTTCTCCCCCTTCCTGCGCCACCTGGACCTGCAGAGTTCCCGGGGTGCCCAGGCTGGGGGAGGTGTGAGGGCCTGGGAGGACCTTTGTCTGTCTGGCCAGGGCCCTGTCCACCTTGCTGAGCTCCATAGGGGATTGGAGCTGGCGGCTGGCCTGAGGGGCTGCTGGCATTTGCTGGGATGGCCTGGGCAGAGGCCGGGAGGAGGTGCACCCTGACACCTTAAGGGGTCTGTCTTTTTGGGGGGACCTTGTCTCCTCATTTCTAGTTTCTCGCCTGAGGTCTTTCATTTGACCTCACAGGCAGAGGTTATTTGACCCCATAGATTTGTGTCCACCTGTGTGGATGGTCCTGGGCTCAGAAGGGCCTTCCCCCTGCAGAGGGATGTCTTCTGGATATCTATTCAGAGTCACTGGCATAAAGGAGCCCTGAGGAGGTCCCTCTCCCCCACCCACACGTGGGACCTGGCAGCCTGGCCAGGCTCCTCCCGCCAGAAAGGTGTGACAGGATTCGTGTTTTCCAACCTCCAAATATTCCTGGGTGGCCCGCTGCTCTTTCTAGATCCACTCACCATCTGTCCTGTTGTTTACTTAGTATTCAACAGCTCAGCTCACTTGTTAAAAGTTTGAATACTTTGTAACTTTTTATTTTGAGAGAATTTTAGACTTAGAGAAGAGTTGCCGAAATGGTGCAGTTTCCCCCCGTCCTTCCCTCCATGGAGGTTCACGTCTCCCCAGATCGTGCTGCCAGCATGGAAACTGAGGCAGGATCCCTGGGAAGCCTGTCCTCCAGGCTACAGGCGCCAGCCGTCGATTTGACAGGCTCCTCCCTCCTGTCCACTTCTCATTCCAGGACCCAGTGCCCGTTCGCTCTCCTGTCTCCTTTCCCTCCTCCTGTCTCCTTTCCCTCCGGAGAGTTTGTCATTTGCCACAGGCAGCACCTGTGAGCATAAGCAGACCCGTCAGAGTAAGGCCCTGTCTTGCCCCCCCACCCCCACTGTGATCTATCCCCCTTCTCCAGACTACCACATTTTGAGGGGATCGGAAGGGGGATTCTGAGGTTACCCACATTCGTGCTAGTGGAGCGTGCCAGCCGAGAGCACAGTGGGGCAGCTCTTTTAGGGGGGCAGAGCCTGTTCCCAGGGTACGATCCCCGCAACACCTGAGCCCTCCTCCCCCTGTTCTCTGGGGAGGCCTCTCGGCTGGGTTGGACGACAAGTCCGGTCAGCAGGAAGCCAGGAGCCCATGTTCCCGCTGGGCTGGGCAGTGGCTGGTCTCTTGAGTCGGGCACCTTGTCAGCCCACCAGCCGTCACTGGCACGGCCTGGCCTCCCCTGGCTGTGACAGGGAGCGGTGGGTTTTGCAGAAGCCACTAGAGAGCACCGTCTTATCCATCTGGTAGGGACATGTGGGTCCACATTGGCTTGGGGACCTTCCTCCCCAATTAGGGTGCCACAAGCCACTGGGCCAAGCACTAGGCAGCTAACGGGTCCCTCCGCCTTCCTGAGTGAGGTGTCCAGTGCCTGTGGACCCAGGTGGCTCACTGGTCACCACCCTGGGGAAGAGGCTCTGTTTCCGGACATAGGCCTGATTCTGTGAGAGCAGCAAACGTCCTACAGCTTCCTGGCCTCTGCCGTCACCTGAGCTATGGAGTCGGAAGGGTTTGGAGACCAGGCAGGAAAGTGGACTTTCAGAAGTTTGAAAGCTGAAGTTGCTGTGAGTCCTGCAGTGACAGCAGTTCCATTTATTTCTCGGTAAACACTGTGGGCACATGTTCTCTGTGGGGTGCCTGCTGGTTCTGGGGTTCCTGGAATAACAAGGTAGATTCCTTGCCTCTGGGGGGGTTCTTCTATGGGAGTCAAACATAGAACACGGGTCCCAGGCCAGCCTGTCAGATTGTGAGGAAGCATCGTGGGGCAGGAGCCGGCACCAGGCGGGGACAGGGAGGCAGTGCAGGGGCAGCCTCAGTGAAGCCAGGAGGCAGCAGCCATGTTGGAGGCTCTGAGCAAAGGTGGGGGGAGGGGACTGAGGACCTGGCTGGGTCCCTTTGGCCACCATGGGTCAGTTGGTGACAGGGCAGGACAGGAGCCACTGTGCAGGTGAGAGGAGCTGGGTGAGGGGGGTACCGGGTGGTGAGAGGGGTCCGATTCCGCATGGATCCCCTCCGATGCCTTGTGCTCTTTCTCTGCGGGGCTCGGCTGCCCTCCTGGCCAGGGCCCTCCCTCCGCACCCATCGCCTCCGGACGCGGCGGCCTTTGTGAGCTCTCACCCACCAGCTGTGGGTTCTCGGGGCAGAGCCACCCGCAGAGGCCCTTGGCCCTCATGGGGGCTCCTGCAGCTCAGTGGGCCAGCAGGGCGTGTGCGCTTGGAGGGGAAGGAGGGCGCCAGGGGCTGCAGTCTGGGCGATTAGATCTGACGGTTAAACCCTAGAACCTGAGGTTCCTAAATGCCAGGGAAGGGCATCCACAGGAAGATGGAGTGTGGCCTGCCTGACGTGCTTATAGATGATCATCATTTTAAAATGAGAAATTCTTCTGTGACTTGAACAAGTTCTGGGGGAGGTGGGGGGCGGAGCCGAGGTGCCCTGTCCCCCACTCTCCGCGGGTGAGTGAGTCTCCTAAGGAGCCACTTGGAGTTGGGCTCATTGGGTTGCCAGTGTGTACTTTCATAGAAAAGATGGGCTGGAAATGTGCCTGTGTGAGCCTTTTCACTGTAGCCCACGTCTGCGTGGATCCAGTTGGGTCCAGGTATGTTGCTGGCGGCCTGAGTTTGGACAGAGGTTTGGAGGTCTTGTCACAGGGCCGGGCCTTATTCCCAGAGAATGTGGGATTTGCTGTTGGGAGTGAGTGTCAGCCGGGAAATACTGTGCCACATGGAATGTACTGGAGGAATCTAATGCCTGGATTCCGGGTGTGGGAGAGCAGAGTGGTCACGTGGCTTCTACATGACCAATATGATAACAGAGGCTGGCCTTGATGGCCCCAGGGTTTGTTCACCTTCATCCTCTATGGGTTCCCTCAGTGCTCTCCTTGTCCTCCCACTTCCAGCAGAGAGGGGGCGCTAGTAGACACTCCTCAGCCCGGGTGCAGGGACAGGCATTGTTGTTCTGGAATAATTCCAGGCTGGGTGAAGGGCCTGAACAGTTACCAGGGACTGGCATCCCTCTTCGTGTCCCTGGTTTCACAAATGCAATGTGGATGGAAACAACTTGACAGCAGGAAGGTGACTTCCAGCGCCAGGCGAAGACAGGGCCCTCTGTGTCTGGTGGCCTCCGTGCCCACCAGCCTCGCGCTGAGATTTGTGTCTCCCTCTTTGCACCTCTCCTCTCGCCCGCCATCGTTCCCAACTGCTGCTGCCGTGGCTCTCAGCGCTTTGGCTGGTGGGTGACCCGCACCGTGCACTCAGGAAGGGCGCTTGGCCCTGTGTGTTAAGAGTTCAGTGTCTTGCCAGGACTGGTTTGGCTCAATGGATAGAGCGTCGGCTTGGGGACTGAAGGGTCCCGGGTTCGATTCCGGTCAAGGGCATGTACCTTGGTTGCGGGCATATCCCCAGTAGGGGGTGTGCAAGAGGCAGCTGATCGATGACTCTCTCTCATCGATGTTTCTAACTCTCTCTCTCCCTTCCTCTCTGTATAAAATCAATAAAATATATTAAAAAAAAAAAAAAAAAAAAAGAGTTCAGTGTCTGGCCCTGGCCAGCGGGTTCAGCTGTCAGAGCGTTGTCTCATACCCCCAGGTGGAGGAAGAAGCAGGTTTGATTCCCAGACAGGGAACATACCTAGGTTGTGGGTTCAATTCCCAATCAGGGCTCTTACAGGAGGCATCTGGTTGATGT